ATACTGGATTCAGACATGGAGAAAACGATGAATGCATCTTAAATATTCCACACAGCCATTTTTTCAGAATAATAATGATCAGTTTATAAGACTGCAATAGTAAATTTCTCTGGTTTTCTGATCTTCACCCGTTTTTGAAAGTATTAAGAATTAAGTTAACATAGCTTGTTACACCACACTATAGACAAAGCAAGTTAGAAAAGCAAGATAAAAAAGTACAATACAAGTTCATTCAGCAGGTCAAGGTCAAAACTACAGAAAAATAGTTACTTGTTAAAACAATATGTAAAAGATATAGAATAAAATATAGAATGCATAATGCTTACTGATTTTGAAGATTTAAAAATTCATTTATAGAGTAAAAACATGTCTACCAAAATACCTAGAAACCTTATTTTTATATTCTATATAGCTCACTATATCTCTTATAGTGTTTAGGAAGATACATGTCTGATTACATTATGTTTAATAACATATAGCGCTTTAGTGTAAGACATCCAATTAGGCAATAACTCTTTCTCAGCATACAATCTCAAGCTGATATCTGTACGACATGAGACTGGTGACCTTGAACATTGCTGTCAATCTACTCTTGAAATTTGCTTATCCGATTCTGCCATTTTGTGAGCCAGCCAGTTATACAAACCCCCATGGCTCCTGTTCCACCAAAGAATCTAGTCGTGCTCTAGACGTTCAAAGATCGACAGTTTCGACTAATCTTAACCAGTGCCTTAAAGACTAAGTATAAGGCAATAACGTGTTGAGTTAGTTGTAGCAATATGGAGTTTCAAGCTTGACATTCATAGGGCTATTACTTCTGCATCTGAATAAACATAGTTGATGTCTTTAATACTGATGACCCATTTGCTGAGCTCTACAAATCACTTAGAATCTAAAAAAATCTGAATCTTCTCCAATATATTCGAGAAATTCCTCAATGCGACGGATCGATCTTAATCTGATATCTCAATTAGGAACTACAAATTTCATTCACTCAATTCACCGTTGTTTACATAATAAATTATAATGTGATGTATATTTCACATTTCTGTTTTATAGACCAACAATAGCCGTACATCACGGAACGCCAACAACTGCGCTATAAAAACTAGTCGTAAATAAAGTTGTGGTTTATTTCAGTCGACCAAACCAGAAGAACATCAAACTACGGAATTCTTCAAATCATATGCATGTTGTAAAGTTTTCTCTAGTATACTTCCGTTAATATCCCAGTAATGTGGATTGGAGGGTGCCGTAAAAAGGTAGTTAAAAGAAGTCACTTTGACGCACTTAAAGTTTCTACAGACGCGAAGACATCGTTAGACGGACTGAATAAATAAAAGAAAGGATACTATTGCTTATTGTAACTCAAACAAACTATCATGTGGTTATCACTATAACCTGTATCGTGTGTCCCATCTGCATTCTCAGGATCCCAGGCGGCTAGATAATCGCTCACTTCCAATTCGCTTTAAAAAGGATTGATGGCTGCATGTAACAGGTACAGGTGGATACTAACTGTATTTTGTGTTTTCAGTAAAGTGACTGAGAGCAAATGTATCAATAGGAATGTTTCAAAATATCTTGATAAGCATCAGGTAGACAGAAGGATCATTTTTTGACACCTAAGATATTCTGGAAACTCCTTACATAGCGATTGTTCAACTAAGCTCGTTCATTCATTGACTAATGCTCATATGTGCGTAAGCACAACTTACATAGGTGTTCCATCAATTGTGACATGCTGCTCTCCTATGGAACCTCTATTGGAAGCTCCAGACCCACTCGGGTAACTACTCAGGAGAGGAGCAGACCTGGAGCTATCACTACCTGAGGAGTGCAGTAACTCGGTGCACTTGTAAGCCACATATTGCTGAGCACTAAAACCAAGAAAAAGCACTCATTCGTTACCTTAGAACTTTCCGCAAGGCTGCTTGTCTTTCTTTATATTTATTCATGGGCTTGAAGTACCACGGCAGGTACCTATAGCCTCTGTGGTCATCTTAGTTGATATCTCGAAAACACGATGTCTTCTGATCGAAGCCACAAATGTGCCTGCTGGCTCTTGTTGGCGGCTTCTAGTTGTAGTTTCCTCCCCATCCTTGTTTTCCTACAGGGTGTGTGAGCATATGTTTTCACTTTGATGTTTTCGATGCATTCATCTGGTCCTGCTACTGCTCCTTTATTGCTGATATGCCCTCGATTGTGCTTTATTTTTATTGAGTTTCCGCACTTTCCACACTACTTGTCTTACTTTGTCTTACTTTGTCTTTTTAACATAAAAGTAACAGTTGAAAATTTTATACAGCGGCTGGGCACCGTCTTGTAATATTTTTGTATTGCGATACATTATTTCGAAGCTGCTTTTGAGTACTTTATAATTCCCGAATATTTTTGTATATGGGATCTGCCATAGCTCAAAACCTAACAATCAAAACGTTATAGTATGCTATATCAATCTTCTTTGGGAGTGGTCTATCTGAATATTCAATGGAATGTTGAACATCCACAGCAAAGAAAATTGTCAGATATTCGAATAGATCTTAAGAGAATAAAATTGATATACTGATGCGGCTTGATGATTGGTTGTTCAGTCGAAAACGCTCAACTTTGACAGCTATTTTGAAAAATGATCATTTTATGTTCCAGGTCTATAAAGTACTCATGCGAGTTATCATACGACCCCCGATTCCTTTCGAAAAAATGCTCGAAAATGCTCCGCCACCTAGCCGCCATCTTAGAATATTCAAGTGCTCCCTATACGCAAAATATAATATCCATGTACTTCTAATTTTAGCTTGCTGACTGGACCCGTTCTAAAAGTCAGTAGAGCGTTCTTTTTGAAATGCACTGTACATCTATCTATCTATGTGATATGAAATGACTAAGAATATTTGAGGACCATCTATGAGTTTCAAGATCCATACCCAAATTTTGTCACACACATATCGATATTTAATCGCAAGGCAAGAAAAAATATTAAGCCGAGTTTGTAAGTACGAGGGTAACGGCACCCAGCAGAAGAGCTTCGCCTCTCTTTTTCTTCTCAATGTTGCCTTTGTGGCTCAGTTTCTGAGTTGCTTGACAACTTGAATTCAGCTGGCCATGAACCGAAAAATTCTTCAAGTCTCATGTACGCCGTAAAGTTTTTAGAAGTGCATTTTCGTTAATATTCAAGTAATGAGAATTGGGAGCGGCCGTAAAAAAGCTCATAAAACGAATTCGTTCCGAGTCATTTGGTGTGTGTTGCGGTGGTTTGCTGTTAGCTTCCGCGTTCACAGTCCACGGATTCCATTTTGCTTCTGAATTAACAATACTGCGCGTTCTGGCTAACGGACGGACACTATTGCTGCAGCAGCACCCGAAACGGATATTTACACCAAGATAAACGTTTATGGGATGCTAATGCGGAATATCCTGGAGACATTATGGTAATGATAGTCTGGCGTGTGAACGAATGAATACTTGCTCACCAGATAATTGTTTCAAAACATATTTATTTAAAATTTTCAGTTGAAGAGTATAAAGTATATTATCAAAAAACGGGATCGGATTGCAATTCTATTATTGCTTCTTGTTATAGAAATTCTTATTCCTATTTCTATCATACTTTAGCAAGCTTTATTTTTAAACTGTTACAAGTATCAATAATGATACTTTTTGGAATTTTTTAATTTAGCTCAGGTGAATGAGACCAACTACTGCTCAATAAGCAACGAAAGTCTACATATGTGTAAATGGGAGACACAAAAGCTACGATTTTCGGTTTGACCGTCCATTTGATTAGTCAGATGAGTTCATTCCGAAATGATTTGGGCCATTAAAATTCACTCACATACAGGTTAGGAGACTTTCGTTCTTGACTTGATCATCTTTGCAATAGTGTTTCTGTTTCTCATACTCCACGTTGCACTCTTATGTCTCGCAGTCGCGAATATTGCTTTCTACCTAAACCTCTTCATCTTATTTTTACCATTAGAATTAATCGTGAATCGTCAATATGCTCCAAATAAGTAAATTTCTGTTGTTTGTAGCAGTTCACGTTCGGTACTATCTCGTATTTTACTAATGAGATGCCGTGATGAACATGGAAAAATAATATCAGCTTGCCAATATAGAGAAGAAATCTAATATGGTTAGGAATATCGAGGGTCCTCCGTTGTTGATGTCTATGAGAATGAGTTCCTTTGCATTACTCACTATAGACTGTCCAGTTTTGAGATCGCCCTATCTGAGTGTTATGATTTTAAAAAAATTGTAAAACTTGTATATGTTTGGTAAACATTCGCATCAAGCAGGTTGACTCTGCACGTTCCGCGCAACGCCCCTATCAGTGCATAGAGCGGTGATCGCCAACCTTTTCAGTGTGTTGAGCTACTTTGATAACTGTGGAATAAACAGTGAGCTACCTAGTCGTCAGCAATGTTAGCCAACTTGAATGAAATTATACACAGTTGTACGCGACGTGCACGTGTTTAATTTACTAATACTAATACATACTAATAAACTTAAATAAACTAATAACTAATACATACTAGCTAACTACATCCATTCCTACCAATCGTAGGTGTTTTGAAAAATGAACAAAATTTTTCGTTAGCCACAATGACAAGTCACATACGATTTAATAAAGGTAACTAAAAATAAAAAAAATCAACGCAGCAACAAAAACATGTCCAGGTAAAAAATGCGTGTTCAATGAGAAGCCTGAAACTCAGACTCGCTGACAATTTTTTTAATGTTTGGAGTATAATTTGATACCATCATTCGAGTACAATTATCCAAATCTCCATCTGTAAGTCGATTACGGTATTTGTATTTAATAAACTTCATATTTGAAAATAAAAAAGAAGACACAAGTAGGTTGAACCAAATAATGCTTTTACTTTCAAGGTAACACGACATAATACTACAAATTTATCTTTACTTACTGAAGGCCAGAAACATTTTGTATTTGAGACTAATGATTTTAAAGCTAAATAATTTTGAAACCCAATCACTTCCATTTCTGTCACAATGATGTCTTCGCTAAAATTCTGGGTAACAAAAGTTGCAAACCTTTGGATATCAATTTCCATGAAGGGTGAAACAACAAATTGTGCCACTACAACAACTTCGTTGAAATCCTTGAAACGATTCTTGAAGTTATCCTTCAAGTAAAAGACTATTTCTGCATGATATCTACTGCGATATGGTTCTAATGGACTTTGAGATATCTTTTCTGAAAGAAAAGGGAAATGCCTGGTATCGCCTTCGTTTAAGCCTTGTTCCCAAAACTCCAAAACTCAAGCTTTTTGATAAACGCTTTTATATCAGAAATTATTTCTGCTAGTTCTTTGTCTCTCTCCTGGAGCTGCAAATTAAGTACCTTTAATTTTTCTGTAATATCCACAAGAAAACCAAAATCTCTAAGCCAGATTGTATTTTCGAGATCCGGAATCGGTTTATCACGTTGTATGAAAAATTGAACTATGGAAGATATGACATCATTAAAACGTTTCACCACTTGTTTCCTACTAAACCATCGGACTTCAGAGTGAAGAAGTAGTTCCCCGTATTGACAGTCAATTTCATCGACCAAGGTTTTCGATAATCTTTGTAACGATTGAGCTCTAATCTTGTTCACAATTTTTTCCACCAATGTCATAACGTTGTTTAGTTTTAAAAAATGTCCACATAATGCATGCTGATGGATAATGCAGTGGTAACAGAGAAATTGCGGGAAATTTTGATCTTTACGGTATAACCCCACGAGACCCTTATCACGACAGACCATAGCTGGAGCGCCATCGGTTGTCAAGCCTCCCATTTTCGATATTGGAATTTTCTCAGAAGAAATAATTCGTGCCCAGTAGTCTGCCCTTTTACTGCAATAAACTTCAAAAGATCTTCTTTAATCGTAAAATCACTAAAAACCATCTTGACGAACACGGCCATCTGAGTGGTGCCAACGACATCTGTGGATTCATCCAGCTGCAGTGAAAACTAAGCACAGTTATCGAAGTCATTCCTTAACTGTAAAACTATATCATTGCTCATTACTTCTTCTCGTCGCATCACTGTGTTCACAGGAAGTTGTATAGATTTTATAGCAGACACTATCTCGTCTTTATTTCTAAAGTTGCCAAACAATGAATCTGCAGCTTCTAAAAACGCCTGTTTTATCATTTCCTCATCTTCATAAGGTTTCTTCATTTGTGTAATTATCTGGGACACCCGGTATGATGCTTCAGTTGCAGCCTTACTGTTGTCGATTGTTTTTAAAAACATTGTCTGTTGTCCAATTAACTGATTTTTTAATTGTTTCAGTTTTTCCGCTCTGGTTGCAGAACGAAATGTGAATGATTTTCCAAAATTCGAATGTACAGTTTTATAGTGCCTCTCGATATTCCCCTTCTTAGCAATGGAAACAAATGTATTACATAACAAACATACATGTTTACTTTTAACTTCTGTAAGTAAATATTGTTCTTCCCATTCCGAATGGAAATGGTATGTCTTCATCTTCTTACTACTGCTCATATTGTTTTTAATTGCAGGCCAACTCTAACCCAACCGCTGAACTTTGTGCCGTTCATTTTTAAACTGAGTGCACTACCGCTACGCCTTGCAAATTTATTCCGTTCAAAGTAATCGAGATCGTTCTCGAACAGATCGCTCACCTCAGTGTTGCCGCTCCTTATGTTTATGAGAATTTACAAAATTTACGGAAACTTCTATGATTTTTACGCATCTTTAAAATATGTGAGGCACCAGAATTGCCGGTAGCTCGCGATCGACGGGTTGGCGCCCACTGGCATAGACAAATATGCTCAGTACAAACAAGACTCTCTTAGAAAGAAGTCAGTCAAACAGGTCCATACGATTAGTCCATAGACATCAGCAGCAGCCGCGGCTTATAGGTCTGCAATCCATCTCCCGAAAATATTTTGTTTTCAGGGATCATCTGCAGAAAAATCTAAGATGAAATTTGTGTAATAGCTGCGTAGAATTATCAATGTTGGGATCATATAATTGTACCAGTATCGATAAATTGAGCCCTCCCCATCACCTTACAACCCCCACCCCCCAAAAACGTAGTGCGGGTTGCTGGACACGGAGAGGAAAGAGAGAGAAAGAAATGTTACCAGACTATTGATGGAACATGTTCTTCTCATTCACTTTGTATTTATATGCCATGCCACCCTCGTTGTGGCTTGAATTACAATATCTAATAAACAACACGCGTCTTGGTAAAATATACTAGCTATGCCTGCAGAACAACGAAGGCACTAAACATTGCGTGTGATAAACTTTATGTTTCTCATTTACGTTTCTCATATCTTATTCTAATTTGACAGTAACGTCGCTGGGTTATCGTAAATCCCTCTTATATGGAATTACTTCCTCCACATACAGCGCTTGCTATAATTTCGTCGAAAAAAGGCAGTTTTGCATTTTATGACTGGATTATATTGTTATGCGGGCAAAGCGCAGATAAGACGGTCATTCTGCTCGGTATAAACATAATCAAGTTATGTGCCACTTAATTTCATGTGCGTGATTCTAACACCTGTCGTTATCTAGTTATCACGCATTGTCTTGTTAGCAGATAGTCGCCTGAACATCTCTACAGTACACATTTAACTTCAATTTCAATTTCAAGAGTAGGGAGTGTAATTTTTTTAAGATCAGGGCGTGATCCATGTAATGGTGCATAATTGCTTGATCTAGCAGATCGTATATTTCATGAGAAATCTCGCTTGACGGGCCTATGTTCAAAGCCTGATATATCACATATTATATTATGCATCGTTTTTTTGGTCAATACTGTGAAGTTAATTGATTTTTTAGAAAAAATATATGGTCATTCAGTTGGTAAAGCCCATCAAATTTTGTTGTTTGTAAATATGGATATCCGTATATGCTTTTTGTATGCGAGCTGCTCAATTCGACATTGGACGAGGAAATATCAGTGGACATTTTCTAGTTGACGATAATGGTTGCTATACTTTTTGGATGTGGCACTTCCGTCGTTGATTGTCTTTCAGTCTGATTCTTTATCTATCTTTTTTCTCATCTAATCTTTTGTCCCCGATAACTCAAAAAACGCTATTCTGATTTCAATATTTGGACATGATGGTGTCTTTTGCTCCTTTTTCCTGTTTGTTTTTTTCTTTATATAGAATCATCTGCTTTTTGTACGTTTTCTACTTTAGTTATTTTGATATATCTTTTCTTATGATTGTCCTGCAAATGGTTTCCTTAAGTTTGCCGTAAACCCTATTTATTTATTTATTTACGAGGCATTTCATAATGCCATACAATCAGCCAGTGTAGCCGAAGTTATGGTAAAAACGCGAAAAAAATGCTCATCCTCCGTTCTTCAACTTTTCCAACGCTCTCGAAATCTTTTGCTGAGGTGAGAATTTGGGAATTCGCAGTTGTAAATGAGGGGGATAAAGGCCAAACGTTTTACATCTATTCAATGAGTTTAGTTTATGAAACATTCGACCATTTCGTATTAATAGTCAATTCAATAGTATTGAGAGCTAATATTGACTTTTGATTACAGGTGAGCGCTTGCATTCATCAGTTACGTTTTGGCCCTCCACGTAAGTATATTTACATTCGCAAAAGCACTATTTAACCAAATGATACGAAATTGGAACAACTTCATACAAGTACTACGCAAGATATGAATCATAAGGTATAGATGGCAACACTGGCTTGGTGGTGTAAAGTTGGCGGTGAGGCTTGCTTCGCCAAATAATACAAGTCACACATCGAGCGCCAATTAGACCATCTATGATAATCTTGGTATCGTTCTGTACTTACTACAATGACGAAAGACGTTATCTTGCCTAGTTCCTTTTCTTGAAATCTTTGTTTTCGTATAATACTACCCGCGGTTTACTGATGGATTATTGAAACTGTTAAATTCATGAGACCATCAGTTCTTTTTGTAGTTCCATCTTTGCCTGCCTTGAAAATGGTACAGACATTTAGTAATAGATGCATGGTTTATTTACTAGGACACGGGAGCAATTTATCGAGTGATACATCATTATAGAATTAACTACAAATTGTGGCTTAAAAAGAATGTAAAGAAACTATGTGCGGAATCATCCTCTAAAGTGTTCGTATTGTTCTCCCTTTCATCATTGAATTGGCTGCAAAGAAGTATGGGTGAATGGCTAATCTATCATGATACAGGTTGCATCATGACGGAATTATCTCTTTCACAGTAAGTTTGTTTAGGTTACGGATAATTATTTCATTTGTGACATCCCATAGTACATTGGTTATACTACAAAGTGTCTTCGGTTGGAATATTTGAAGTATATAAACGTTACTACCAGCGGCACTACCCCACAATTGTATACCGTATGTCCTAACAGATTCGGTGAACTTCAGCTTTAATTCAACTCACCAACCTTGTTTCACAAAATCGTACAAATGATACACCCAGTACTATTTACACTCACTATGATACCTTTGCTGCGTGGTAGTCCTCGTGCTGACTGCATCTACTCTAATGACGAGAATGATCAACTTGCCTCCTCTCCTTTTTTAACATCTTTGTTTTACTACCCGCAGCTTACCGTCGGATTATTGAAACTTTAATGTCGAATTCATAAGGACCGTTATTGTGATGATAATTTTTTGATACTTCGCTAAAATATTGTAGTCAAAGCTTTTTGAACGACATAGATTGATATGTTTTCAAATGATGATTAAATTTATGGAAAATTGTCGTTCTATAGGGGTTTAAAATGACTATTTTTGTTTCCGAATCTAACAACCTGCACTTCAAATTGCCGCCAAGTGTAAAGGAACTATCCTTACCGCTATTTAAACAAAGGATAAACCCAATTTCAATACAAAAGAGCTACTATTCAGTCATTAATATTTCTGTGATTTCAATATTTGCTAGTGTTGAAGCTTCAATATGTATTCTGCTTTTCATGGTATATTTATTTTAATTATTTATCCTTCTTTCCAAGCTGCTTCTGTCATACTGTATTCTATTCTATTTAAGCTTGTTTTTGTAATGTTATGTATCTATGTATTTAGCAGTTTGGTGCTGTGATGTCATATATATTTAATTTATGACACATGTCCAAATTACTTTTGCTGTATTTACGAAGCATATTTTCAAAGCAAACATAAACTTTCCCAAGTAACATTATTATTATTCATTAGCCATTCAACTTAATTTTGTCACTTGTCGTGTTTAGG